ATAAAAATATTTACATTTATGTTAGGCTATCTATTATATACCCAAAATCCAAATCCTGCCCAAGATAAATGGATTCAAAAAGATGAAACCATCTATCTTTAATCTTAACTCACTCACTAACCACCCCATCGAATGTTCTACTATTTCTTTCCTTCCGAATAACCCAAAAAACAGTCAAAAGAATCAATTTTTGAGTCTCTTCCTTTTACAGAAACCTTCCTACGCCCAAATCTCACCCCTAACCTAACCCGACATCACCCAACTGACACCCAAAAGGTTATAAACCATGGACCATATTGCATAAGCCGCAGGGCACCATAAAGGCCAAACCTCTTCATAATATAACTCCACATTCTCCATGCCAAGAAGCAATGTAGGAATAAGTGTGAGTGACTCTCACCATCTCTTAAGCACATGACACATATATCAGGGGACAAGGCATGGCTGGGACGACATATTTGAAGCAAGACATTGGTGTTGAGCCTCTAGTTGATAGCGGTCCATGAAAAGTATTCTCACCTTCAAAGGAACTCTAACTGTCCAAAACACCTTGACAATATGAAATTGTGTGGCACTGGGATTATTTATGAGGTAAGAGTAGAAAGACTTACATGTGAATTGGTCAAAAGATTCAAGGGTCCATGGCGGAATATCTGGTTATGAATTCATATATATGGGCTTTAGCATGGGTAGTAGGTTGATAAGTTAGCAGTCTTCCTATCATATAAGTTAGAATTAAAGTGAAAGTTCCATTATAGGCTACCCCCAGTGTTGATAGTGAAGCTGGAGACATAGGTAGTGTGTCTATTAGATAACTAGTATAGTTACAGGAATTTGCGGCAAGTGGTTGGCCTCCCAACCAAATATCTTCCAGAAAAAAAGTGTTTTAAACCCATTTCCCACTTGTAGTCAAGTGAGTGGTAAACACAGGATAGATATCGGAGATAGCTCTAGTTTTAGATACCTCATGCACCTAATACAAGACCCTAGTACAACTCTCTCAGAATCTTGTGATAATACACAACTACTAAATATGAAAAGAAGAAAAAGGGAGGGAAGAAAATCCCCCTCCTGCAAACCTCTCTACACAAAAAACTAGGATCCAAGCTTACAATTCACCAAGACAAAAAAGGACATAAGAGAGAGACAACCGAAAATCCATCTCCTCCACCAATCTCCAGAATCTTTCCCTACCATTCACCTTCCCAACCTTGTCAAGGAAACCCAACTAACTCAATCATACACATTTTGAAAATCCAACTTAAGAACCATGCCATTGTTTCTCGGTCATACCTTCCTCACCACTTCATTGACAGTAAGAGAAGCATGAAGGGTTTTCCTACTTCCAACAAAAGCAGTATGGTAGACAGAAGTAATCTCATTAACACCTTATTTTAATGAAGGCAAGTGCATGAAACAATATTTCAGATCCAGCAGCTTCCTCCCAAATGAGAGCTTCAAGCTGAAAGTCAAAGTCATCCTGAGAAATTGTGGGTGTAGGTATCTAAAGACACCCATAAGAAAAGAGTTTGTTACCAAGATGTTATGTCCCCTAGATTGGACCTCATTATAGGTTTATTGTAATACTCATTACGAGAGAACACTCCATCTCTTAGAATTAAGGACTAATTAAGAACTTACTCAAAGTACAAGACTAGTCAAGGAAATTTTTTTTGAGATTTCTGACCTCACATTTATTTCTCCAACTTACCTAGGTTACAGAACAAGAAGACAAAAATAATTGCTCGTAGAAAACAGGAAACAACTAATGTAACTGAACATTTTAATTTTGAAATAAAACTGAAAGATTAGATGAAAACAACTTACTTAACCAGATGTGTAATTTAACTGTATCTTTAACTTACTGCTATCTGTAATTTGACTATGTTGGACCATAACAAGCCACCTTACAAGGATTAAAAGCACACTTGCTCCCTAATTTCTCATCTTACCAGGTTAACCTAACTCTCACTTATATCATATGTAAAGATAAATTTCACCATAAGCCTGAACATAATACAGACAACGAAATAATTTTCATTCCAAAAGCACCCAATCAATGCTTTCTGTGCAATCTGCTCTCAAGGTTTTCTTTGGACATGCTGTGATTCACGAGGTCTTTTCAACTTTAGCACAGCACATATATAAATGCAACTATCAATGAAAATGGATCTTCTGATGAGATTAATATAAGAAAAGGACAGCAACAGTTTTTTTTTTTTTTGAAAGTACAGCAACAGTTAATATAAACGCACTAACATTTTGCAATGATGATAACAGTGCTCGCATATTGCTTTCTTTTCCTGCAGCCCATTGCTTTATATTAGCATCCAGTGTTTCAGCAATCCTCTGATAATCAAAGGTTAGGCACCCATGTAATTAAGATATAAGAAGGTCAAATACATAAAGAAAAGGAAATGACACATCTACAATGGCAGACAGAAAATAAAGGAACATAAATGCAAACTGCCCATACACATATGTACCATTAAAAGGAGAGAGATTTGACCAATTATGAGGGACTTGAGCAGCATTTGGTGCACATTTAGAATAGAACAATCCCGGTGAGTGTTGTCAAGAGACTGAAATCAATTCAATGTAGATTCCTTTAGGGCGACTCTAAAGATAGAAAGAGATCACTTGGTGGAATGGAATAAGATCAAAAAGTCAATGTCTCAAGGAGGTTTGAGGTTGAGATCCTTAGTGGAGATGAATCCGGCCTTACAAGGTAAGTGACTATCTAGATTCATGAAAGAAAATGATACCTATAATGAAAGGTGATAGAAGCAAATTTCAGTACTGTGCATAGAGAGTGGTACTCCAGAGTATTGACTACACCATATGGGACTAGGATGTGGAAAAAATATATATATGGATAAGAATAGATTCTAGAATTATATTAGATAGAGGGTTTGCACTAGAGATAGAATCAGCTTTGGCAGGACGTTTGGCCTTTGGAAGGGCTCGCTCAGATATCAGTTTCCCCAACTTATGTTATTGCACAACACAAGGATATCCAGTTTTTGAGTCATTCAAAGATAATAGGAGAAAGAGAATGGCATGTGGGACTTACGAGAAACCTCAATGATTCAGAAATTAATAACTATGAGACTCTAATTAATACATTCTCCTCCGCATCAATTAGCGAGAGTAATGACCAACCAATTTGGAGTCTTAATACTAGAGAGTCTTTCTTGGTCAGGTCTTTTTATAATTATTTGATCAAGAATGATACCACGGAGACTAGTTTTCCTTTTCGGCAAATCTAGAAGGCCAATGCTTCATCCCAGGGTTATTTTCTTTGAGTGGGAAGCAGGTCACAGGTATATCCTTACTATTGCCAAGTTAATGAGAAGAGGAAAGATCTTGATGGACGGTTGTTTTTCTATGTAAAAGGGAGGCGAAGTCTTATAATGGCATCCTTCTATGGTGACCACTTGCAGATAAGGTATAAACCATGATTTACGAGTTATTGAGGATCAATTTGGCGATGGCTGCTTCGATACAGGAAAAAATTTGGGCCTAGAGAAGTATCAGTGGAGAGAAGAAAAGTGTGAGCCTCATTCCTCTTACTATCTTTTGGGTGGTATACATAGAAAAGAACAAAAGAATTTTTGAGGGAGTGAAAAACGAATTTGGTAGGGTTAGAGATGGTTACAGACCTGGTGTTTTTCGGTTATAGGTCATCCTCTTTATACAATGGAGGATTTGGAAATCTCATTAATATTTTGATTGACATGTAAATACTTTTTTGTACATGGGTTGACACTCTCTTAGTGCTTGTGAATTATTGAATAATACCATACTTTTTATTTAAAAAAAACATTTAGAATAGAACAAGGCATGATTGACTAGAGCTGAACAAAACTAAACAAATAAAGAGATGTGTTTGGGATGTATGGATAGAGACAAAACAAGATATATGTCAATTTATTTGAATGTCAATGTAAAATATTCTTTTTCTTGTTTCTTTGCAGTTTTATGAGCACAAGAATTATATAGGTTTAGATTATAAAATTAATTTTAATTAAATGTTTCAAGGTAACACATAATTAAATATTTATAGATTAAATTAAGGAATAATTTATAAAAACTATTAACATTTAACAAAATCATTTAAAATAAATAAATTAATAAACCCGATAAACTATTTTTTTGAAATAATAAACTGATAAACTATAAAATAATTTATTAAAAGAATAATGATTAACTTAAAAGAAAACATTGTGGCAATAGGAAAGATCTGCATAGTAGCTAGATTATGAAATTAATGATGTGGCATGGCCAAATAAAACAGATTTATGGCCAAAACCAGACAAATTTTATAAAAATTTATAGTGGCTGTTCACACGTGAACAGCATCCAAAAGTGAGGGATTAATGCTAGTCTTAACCCTAAGAAGAAGTAGAAGTCTTAATAGGAGGCATGCCGCTGGCAGTGGAGGACCTGTGAACAGCATCCAGAAGTGAGGGATTAATGCAAGTCTTAATTTCCCCAAGAAGAAGTAGAAGTCTTAATAGGAGGCATGTTGCTGGGAGTGGAGGAAGACTTGAGGGTGTTTTGCTATTTCAGAGTTGTTCCATATTTTTTCTAGAACAATTTATTCCTTGAATCTATCTTATTTGTTATGTTCTGACCTCTCTCCTTGACTACCAAGACAAAGCTGGATTTATTTGTGAATCCAAACACAATCTTGATATGAAATTATCCTTATGAATGCTTTACAACTCTAATGCAATTAGAAAATCACTTACACGTCTCTCTTCTTGCTCTTGCTGAGTTTGAAGATCACGTTGGTTCATATCAGCAACTGCTTTTGCCTGCATGCACATCAATCCAAACTGTTAAATCATTTTGTGCTAAAGGAGAGATATAATGAAAGCTCGAGATTCAATAATAACATGGGCCATCCTCAGTCAGATAAAATCACAGGCTATAAATATCAAATCAAGATAAAACAACTTAACGCTAAAAGCTAAACAGATGCTTATCAAGTAGCATATGCAAGTGTTTGGCAAGAAAGGGTGATCCCAATAGACTAACAGTTAAGCAATTCAGGGAAAAGAGAAGTAACAAAGGCTGAGGAAGAAGCCACATTTTGCAGGTGGCTATTAACAGAGAGTTTGTTGGGACACAGAGTTTGTCATGTCTATGATCACTAACCTATCTGGCATATAAGTTTAAGATACGTTTCTTTTTAGACTGCAAGCCAAATTTGTTTTCCCATAATATACCTGATTTCTGCCATAAGGTTCTTTTAGGATTCTTTTCATGCAATAACAAGTACAAAGTCAGCAATCAAAAAATTGCAACCTAATTACAGCTAAAGAAACAAACAATAACTAAATAATAAGTGGAAACAAAGAAAAGCACACCACACGGTCCTGGGTTCTCCGATGACGCTCCAATCTGGCTCTTCGTCTTTCTTCACTTTCCCCTTCCACTTCCTCAAAGTCTCCAAACAATGGGGCAGCTTTTGGAATAAATAAAAATTTGGAACAGGATTAGCATCAAACAGACATTCCCAATGGATAAATTGCATTAGTGTGATTGATATCAAATTCAGCAAAAATCACCTCCAAAAACTGAAGAGAGGTCATCAACAACATTAATTGGGGGAAAAACCTTTGATCCATGTGAAGCCCCAAAAGACGATTCTTGGGTCCCTTTAGGCTCTCCTTTGTTAAATATACTTGCATCAAATAAGGGATCCTGAGAAGCATGTCAATAAGTAAATAACATAATCTGCTGATATTGCAAAAAATGATCATAATTTAAAACCTACATCCTTACCCAAGTTGAAGGCCGTGATCTTGGTACACTACTTGATCTAGAACCCACACTGAAAAATGACTCAAGATCATCTTCACCATTTGGCTGTGTCTTAAATGCAGCATCTTCAGCTTCTTTATATTTATTAGTTTTAGAATTTTTTCTGTCCCTTTCTTCCCTAGCATGATGAAAATCTGAACGTCCATCAGCATTGTAGTGTACCTTACCCATGGCAAACTCCTCAAGTTCATCTATTGAAGACACACCTGAACTCTTACCTGCATTACAAACCATTGCATGCTGTCAATAATACAAGAAGAATAAGGAAATGAAGTCACCCAATTGTTTCTTTTAATTAAACAAACCTTCATCTGCCTTTAAAACTTGTGCTGGACTAGGAGGAGGCCTCAATGCTGGTGAAGTATTAGATGGCCTACCAGGCTTCATGTGTCCAGAACTACTGAAGTTGCCGAGTTCTTCCAGTGGATCAGTTAAAAGTTCTGATGATTTATGTGCTTGGGTTGAAGTTGATTCTAATACTACAAAAGGATCTTCTGGTGATGCAAAGGTTGATTGACTTGTCTTTTCATCTGCCCTGCAGAAATTTGCATGATTCCAGAGTATCAGATATTCATCATGAAGGATAAAAGTCTGATTACAACAGCAGACTCAGTAATCTTAACCCTAAAACCAATGGACTGAAGGTCCACATGCTTAATTATATATTTGTGTTCGTTTAACATTTTCTTGATTTACCACATGTTTAAAGTTTCATGAATTTTTCTTTTATGGATTTTGAACTTTCATGAAGCATAAATAATTGTCAGATATAATCCACTCCGTCCTTGCACAATTTGGAACATATTTGCTTTAAGCCATATTATATTTTATATATAAAATATTCTCCTTTTTGGAAGAGAAAATATTTTTGAAATAATATTTTTATATAGAAATCTATACGTTTTTTCAAGGTGAAATACTTAACAGAAAAAAGAAATGCATTAAAGAGGATCAGGCAGACTCATGAAATTGTTTATCCTCGGAATGAACCCACATAAAAGTTATTTGCAAGACAAGACTTTTCGATAAGTTCCAGTACGTCTACCTCATCCTTTCGAAAAAAAGGCTCCAGTACATCCACCTCATTTATACAAGGATTCCTACTAAACCAAAGACTAAATGTGTAGAACTGCTCATCTTAATTGAAATATGAACATTCCATACCATCAAACAAGTTCCTATCTCTTTCATCCCTCCCTATCCAAAAAGTTCAGGGTCAAGCATGCTTTTTGTCTTTCTGGAATATTCAGTTTCCTCACAAGTCCAAACTCACTCTTCATAGAGTTGTTCATTCCAATGCAAGCCAATCATACTCCTTGGATACTATCATCAAACTGCCTCAGCTTCCAAATTCTGCTCAGCAGATGTTGCACTAAGTACCAGGATTATAGTGTTAGTTTTCATCTATAATCATCCTTAGTTTCATACCCAATGGTTTATTTTCATATTTAACTCGTCTTTTCTAGAATATTTCTTCATGATAAGAAAGCATTTCTCCAACATCTTAAATAAACAGAACAAGGGCCTCATCCAAGTTGGATTCCACCAAAAAGAAACCATCATTGGGCCAGAAAGCCAATATTTTACTGCATAACCAGTGAAAACATAGCTCTAGGTTGACTAGATTATGGCGGAATGAATCTTAACCAAATTCATAACCTGCTTTAGCATGCTCAACGCTAAAGCCACATCTAAATTTTCATCTAAAAAACACCAAGTTAAAGAAATACATTTATTTATCTGAAAATTCTGGAGCCATTCCAGTCTTGCCAGTTTAGGGATTCGTAACTGTCCTGAACAATCATATACTGATCCTAAGAAGGTAAAGAGCTGGCATATTTAGGGAATCTGGAAACATAAACAGTTTAAAAAAACAACGGGCTTATTTTAACAAATCTAGCAATGAATCACAAATATTACTTTAGCCTTGTGACATATACCAACCAAAAAATAACAGTAGTAGGAAGTATTGTTTATTGCAAACCATCATTTCTGTAAGCAGAATCCTTCCAAACACATAAAGCCAATATTCCATACATAAACTATAAAATTTTGCTGTTACATACTCTGCAATCCGCAGAAAGAGGAAATATTCTAAGTATCCAGATTTGCATGTCTAATAAATCCCCACCCACATTATTTATACTTCAACAACACCTCAACTACTCTTTTCTATACTTATCTGAAGAATAACGAGCAATTTTGTTTGACCAAAAATTAAACTTCTTGCAGAGAAATTTTTACAACTTCCGCTGGCACTAGTTTCTCAAGAATTTACAAAATGTTTCATCCATAAAAATTTAGTCGCTGAACAATAGCTCCATTGACGAGAACACATCCAACAAAGAAAAAACATCCACAGGATTCTCAGCCAAATTCTTACATCATCTACAGATTCTCCATAAATGACTCTGGTATTATTCCGTCGCTAATAAAAAATGACGCATTGGCAGTCAACAACTAACAGCAAAAAGATTAAAATAACCAATTAATCAAATTAAACACATACCAATTACTTGGAGGGCTGCTTCCGCCAAACCCAGGTAGCAAGTCATTAACGTCAGAGGCATTCTTCCGGAAATCTCCCGATCCATTAAGGTTCGAACTCTTTGGTTTTGCCCCAAATTCACCCAACAGATCATCTACGGCAGTATTTTGCTTAGCAGATGAAACAAATGACCCAAACATATCGTCGTTAACATTCTCCGAAACTTTGAACCCAGGCATACTAGCAAATATGTCATCATCTATATTACCAATCACTGGAGAAAATTTATTATTGGAATTTCCCGAATTCGAGAATATTGAATCGTAATCAAAAGAGGATTTATTGCCACTGTTGCTTGGTTGTTTTGCAGACTCTTGGAAATAACCAAAGAAATCGTCATTATCAAACCCGCCAGAATCCTTGGGTTTCCTGCTGGCGCTCGATTGGAAAAGAATGTCGTGATCATTGACAAAGGAAGTATTGATGGAATTGGAGTTCCTACCAGGATGTGAAGAATACGATGAAGAGGATTTCGAGTTTATACCGGAATTGGACCCGAAATTCCGGGTGCGGGAACCGTTAGCGCTGGTGGATCGTTTTGCTTCAGCCATGGGAACTGATTTTCCTTGTGGTTTAAGACCATAACGCTCCGTTAGGACACCAAATTCATCCATGATTCCACAGACTTTAAATCGAACTCAGTTTGTCAATTCAATTGATCAAGGATATGAGTCGGTGGAGGATTTAATTGAAAAGGGGAAGATAAGATCTGTAAGTATGAGATCTCAAATACTTACCTAACAAAAACACGTTTCATGTGTATTAAAAATTTGACTATTTATTTATAGCGAGTAAGATCAATCATACACGGAAGAATCCTGATAGTGTCTCTGTGTTTTCCCCAAATGAAAGAGAAGAGAGTCGGTTGACGAAGAAAAATCGGAATAAGAAAATATTCCTGGAAATCGGACGAGAAAAATTAGGTCCGGCGGAGTCCAGAGCTCGCTGTCGAGAACCCGGAAGCGGCAGAGAATGGGCTCTCTCTCTCTCTCTCTCTCTCTCTCTCTCTGTGGACTTTTTGTCGGTAAGCGACGTAATGAAACTTCAATTTACAGTTTCTTATATTCTGCAGAGAGCTGGTGGGCCACCACAATCCAGATTAGGCCTTCAAAGATCAAATTAATTTGCTTAATTACAGCCGATAATCAGACAATTAAGCTGCTTAGAAAAATTTAAACTTATCGTAACGATAATACGGGATAAAATTCTGATAGAAAAATTTATTGTTTTAATTTTTAAATGTTTTAATAATTTTAAATTTAAAAAAGTAATTACTAATCTTATTAGAAGCATAATCAGATATTAATTAGAAAATTAAGGAGAAATAATATAAAAGAGAAATGTTTTAGGAATTTAATTACTGTATTATCGTAAATAAAATGTAATATTTGTTTATAACAAGTATATATTAATAGTAAACATTATGATTATTTTATAGTAATGATAAAAATTTGGAATAATTTTAAATTAAAAAATTAAATCATGAAGATCTAAAATTAATATTATATTTAATAACATGAATAAAACAATTAACTTAAAGAAAATCTTCAACATATTCAAAGTATGAGAAAATTATAAGAAAACTTTATAATATCATTTGTAATAATTATTTTTCGTTACTTAGAAACTTCTTTATCCTTCAAGCTTTTATTTCTCCTTATCAATGAAATAAAGTAATTTATTTTACATTATTATTATTTTTACAACAAATTTTACCGATATTACATTATTTTTACTTTTACTTCGAGTATGTTTTTGTTAAAAGTTATTTTTAGAGTAATTTTTAACTACTCAAAACACAAACATCGGCTCAGCCAATGGACTCTTTGGATGATGGTTCAAATTATAAGTATGTGCGTGTTCTATCAGGTTTGAAGAAGCAAAACTTAGACAAGTTTAACACATGTAAGCATGGAAGGAAGAGCGAAAAGAAGCCGAGGAACATTGTTCGTAGTACTCCTCATACGTGTGTTGTTGAATTGAGCTATTTGTCATGATAAGTTTCGGCTTATGATGTGTTTGGTAAATTATTAATTGAACTGTAAGTTTATAATATTTCATTGTTTCAGCTATTATTATTTGTAGAGATTTCAAAATTAAATCTAAAATTTAAATAATCAAACTCATATCAAATAAAATATATTAAATTTATAGTGAAAAAAATCTGCACGTAATACGGTAGATCTTCCAAATCGACACATAATTTTTTAAACTCTCTTTTTCTATTGATGTGATAAAAAAAAAAATATTACGTGAGATTTTGAGACCATAACTGTCTTTTTACATTGTCAAATTTTGTTATTTCTGATTTACTTCATCGTAAAATTTGAAATAATATTTTTGGTCTCTAAATATAAAAAAACTCGTGTTTTACTAAATAAATTAAGATCCAATATCCACAACCGATCATTTTTAAACGGCGCCAACAAAATCAATAACTTTTTGTACATAATAAGATTCATACTAAATTCACACGATCGATTAAAACTCAATAATTTTTACTAGATGTGAAACAGTGATTTTTTTTTTGTAATCAAATGCTTATTTAAGTTGAAGTTTTGATCGGTTATTTTATCCGAGAGAATCATCTAAATAATCTAATAATGTTGCTTTATCAAAAATAATTGAATCAAAGCTCTAGATTTTTTGTTCATCCTTCACTGTAATAATATCTCGGGTTTGCAGTAATAACTTTGTATATCTACTATACGACCAGTAATGGATTTTCGCATACCCATTCGAAAAAGGATGTTATCCAAATGCATTTCAAGTAATTGTAGTAAAACCTGACCTATTGACCCTTTGGCTTTTCCGACGATACGGACGTATTTAAGTATTTGTTTATCGTACTTTGAGAATTCAATAAGATTCTTGCCGTTGTATACAATAAAAGATAATAATCTTGTTTTAACCTTGGTTGTCTTTATAATCTGGAACCATGATAAAGCTTTCTGCTTTATCTGACTCTAACTGGAAAAACTTTTTATGAGCATGCTGTTGTCACATATTTTACTTTGAAGTCCAAAATATGAGAGTACTTGCAGTTAAAGATGCATAAGACTGGTATGGTAGAAACCCACTTGAAACTTAATATTTAAAAAGAAAAAGAAGCATTGAGGTCAAACATGTGAACTTTGACCAGATTCCTTGTCAACATTGATGGCTCCTTCAAAATAAGAAAACTTATATGCAACATATGAATTAAGTTGAACAATTCTACATCAATTGTTCAGAACAAGAACTTGAAATGAACATGAACAACTCCATGTTCTTCCCCTTCCTTTTCTTCCTATTTTCCTCTGCCAGTTTCTTCACAGAACCAGCTCGTGCTTCTCTATGTCCAGTTGATCTCAGCTACGTTGAAACCTTCCCGTGGGACACGTTTGTCTGTCGTGATCCCAATCAAAAAGGTTGCTGCCAAGCACTCTTAAGCCTATTTGGTGTAGGACTTGCCCAGCACCTCAAGGACACCTCCATGTTTCAGCTACCAGACGCCAACTCTTCATCTGCTTGCTTGTCTGATTTCCAAGCTAGACTTGCTCACTTATCCATCAACCCGTCTTTAATCCCTTTCTGCTTCGACAACGCCACCCAGTTCGTGGCAAATGCTTCCAGCTGCGCTGGGATCATCACAACTGAAGATTGGACCAAAAAGGCTGGCCCTGTGACTGCACTAGATGGATCTTGCAAGGGTAACTTAACATTAACTAGGTGCAGTTCATGTCTTGATGCAGGCTTAAAGGTGAATTCTCAGTTGTTTGCTCTAGACCCAAATAGCAGCAAGTGCTTTTACTTTGTTATTTTATATGCAGCAGCTTTTGTTAATGAGTTTGGTCCCAAGGATACCAGCACTGCGGCTTGCATTCTTGGCTTACCACTGGCTACTTCTGCCACCAATAGTTACAAACCAAGAAACAAGTTAAGCACCTTATTACTCAAGCTAGTTTTTGGAATTCTCGGTGGTGCTGCTGGTGTTCTGATGAGTCTTGCGGTTACCATACTATATAAAAAATGGGAAAAGAAAAGGAAAGGAAAGGCTCTGCACCAAGAATTCATTACTAGCTTCAAGTCAAGTGTGTTACCCAACTCAGGAGCAAAATGGTTTGGGATATTGGAGCTTGAGCGAGCCACTAATGGATTTTCTCGAAAGAATTTGATAGGTCAGGGCGCGCATGGAGTTGTTTATAGAGGAAATCTTTCAGATGGTACTTTGGTTGCAGTGAAACAAATTCTTGATCTTGACTCAACAAGGGATGAAGAATTCACTAACGAAGTCGAGATCATTAGCAAAATAAGACACCGAAATCTTCTTTCTCTTCGCGGTTGCTGTATTGCAAGTGATAACTTAGGAGGCAGAAGAAGATATCTAGTTTATGATTTCATGCCAAATGGTAGTCTCGGCGATCATTTATTCGATATTCATGGAAGAAAAAGAAGCCACCTAACTTGGCCCCAGCGCAAGAACATAATTCTTGATGTGGCAAAAGGATTATCTTACTTGCATCATGGACTAAAACCAGGCATTTATCACCGTGATGTCAAGGCTACCAACATACTTTTGGATTCAGAAATGAAAGCAAAAGTAGCAGATTTCGGGTTAGCCAAACAAAGTTTAGAAGGTCAATCCCATTTAACCACAAGAGTTGCTGGCACACATGGATACTTGGCTCCAGAATACGCTCTCTATGGCCAGTTAACTGAGAAAACTGATGTTTACAGCTTTGGAATTCTGTGTCTCGAGATTATGAGTGGGAGAAAAGTTATCGACACTTCCAAATCATCATCTTTTCTTCTGATCACAGATTGGGCCTGGACATTAGCCAAAGCAGGAAATATAGAACAAGTGTTTGATGAATCAATAAGAGGAGGTCCCAAAGTGGTTATGGAGAGATTTGTTCTAGTTGGGATTCTTTGTGCTCATGTGATGGTGGCATTTAGGCCTACAATTTCTGATGCTTTGAGAATGCTGGAAGGCGATATCGACATCCCTACATTACCCGATAGACCATTGCCGCTAACCCATGAATCCTTTGCATATTCTTCCTGGCATGGCGAGAAATCAAGCTCATCGACACAGCTACCTCGGCAGCACATTACTTGATTGTATTCTATTCTTTCCAGTTTTCTGTACTCAAACATGTCCTACGCTGCTAACCCATCACTTTTTTTTTTCTTTAGTGCAAATTCAACCTTTCACCTTTTTCTAATCTACATTCTGGGTTTGTGACTTTAGAACATTGGATGATTATTGGGTGCTCAGGATTAATCATAGTCAAACTTGTCCAGCTTAATGCTTATGATTTTTTCTAAAATTAAATGGATGAACAATACCTACTACATGGATGGGCAGAGTGATCTTTGTTGACAAATATATTTTCAAAGTCTGTAATTACTTCAAAAGATGAATGAATTAATAATAGCACGATAAAACCAATTTCTATAAAATATAAATAAATTAAAGGTTAGGCGGAATGCATTCATATAAAAATTTCACATTGGTATGAGCATTTTTCATTTTATATTAGTAATTGTTCCAAAGTGGGAACAGTCAAACGTATCGTATATCCTATTGAATAAGAAAAGCTTACAAAAGGATGCTAATCCGATAACGATTTTCTATAAGAAAAATTTAGAAGGGGTAATTTTGTTTGTGAGAAGATGATCCTCTCTCTATAAATAAGAGAATTCAATTAATTCTAACTGATACACTATGCAATATGGAAGAACTGTTTCTCATAATCACCTGTGTTTGTACAGAGGCGCAAAACTCTAATGGAGACGTTTCATCATCCCCTGTTAAGATTCCACAAGTTCATTTGAAAATGGTAAGCGTCTAGTGAGTTGGCTTAACGAGAATGTTCTAATAAAGAAGACTCCTTGAATAATAATTATAATAATATTTTAGTCCCACAGAATAAGTACATAGAAGTGTCTCAAAACGTCGCCGTTTGGGTAGGCTCTCGTTGGGAGCTGGAGATAGAGCGTCGTTTGAGGACGAAGATAGGAAGGTAGGGGAGCATTTTCCCGTGTGGATTTCAGAAGCGAGGACGCGCTTCATGATTCATTGCAAATGAAGACAAGCACCCTGGGAGCAAAGGGAGTAGCCTCGCGTGCCCATCTGAGCGACAATATCTGCAACTCTCAAGCGTGGCAGGGAACCGTCGCGGGGAAGACCTGGGCGCTGCGAGCGGCTATAAAGGAATAGAGAGACAAAGGCGAGTTGGTGGGGTGGAGTCGGATTTTGAAAAATTTTTGTTAGCACTGCGCCCTCCTTCTTCTTCTCCTCCTCCCCGGTGAAAGGTCGAGAGATATTTTTTAAGCAAAGCAAAAAGGAATTCCTTTCTTCGGGAGTCATTTAGCAGCCAGGAGGGTCTTAGACTTTTGGGCGATTCTCCTCCTTTTTGTTTTATAAACAGAACAAAGAGATCTCTTGGAGCACTCTGTAAGAATGGTACTCTCTTTGCTTTCCTTCTCATTCCTTTTGTTTCAACTGTATGCAATGAATATCAGTATTAAACTTGAATGAAACCGGTATTTGGGTTTTCCTCTTTTCAATTCTAATATACTAAATTAGTAGATTTAGTCTCATCTCTGGCATTTGTTTGGTTACTTTGTTTTCATATCTTTATGATTAGTGAGTCTTATTATCTCGATTTCTACCAGGGTATGTGAAAACGAACTTGCAAGCCCTTCATGTTCCTTCTTGTGGCTGTACTGTTGAATGTTGAAATAAGTACTTTTACCGCTTCGGGAGATAAAAACAATTGATAACGGATTTAGTTGGTTTTCCTTTCCTCACACCTTACTGGTTTAAAATAAGAAATGTGAGAGGGCTAGTGGAGGCTATCTGTGAACCCGTACTTTTTCTCAAGTCTTGTTTTGTGATCTCATTTGTTATTTTGCATGTTGTATTTCTTTGTTACTTCTGTAAGTTAGAGAGGTTTTAGAGGCTAGATGAACTTATTTTGGCAAAAACCGAGTCTTGTCCCCGGAAAAGATAGAGGCTATTGGAGGAATTTCTTGAGGATTTTCAATTTCCTCTTCTTGGTGTTCATTTTATGTTTGCCTTGGAGAAATAGAGCTTCTGTAGTCCCAGCATGCCTAGGGCAGAGGCGGAATAAAGGAACTGGTTCATAGGGTATTACTGTTTTTCTTCTGTTTCAGTCTAGCATTCATTTTCAGTGGCTTTGGTCCATATGGTTGAAGAAATGGTTGCCCATCACTCTCCCTTCATTTCTATTTTCTCCAAAAACCTAGTAGCCTTGCAGTTTTTCGCTTCGTATGCTTGTTTAGGGTAATGTTTGAAAATGTTAAGGACACCTAAAGCCTGTGATGCTTTGACTATACAGTGAAGGGAGTGCATGCCAGAGGCCGCAGGGCTGTCTGCCTAGGCAGTATCTACTTGTTGAGACTTTTATGCTTTCATGCTCTTTTGGTTTTGTATTCATGGTTTATAACTTTATATATGGAAAAGAGGATCTCAGTAGCATAGTCATCAGATCATGTTTTTCCAAAATGCTAACCGGCACTACTTTTTTGTGATCATGATCATGTTTTTCCAAAATGCTAACCGGCACTACTTTTTTGTGATCATGTTTTTGTGGTGTTTGGTGGGGTTCAAGCGGGCATCCACCATTTGGCATACATTCCTCCTCTGTTAATATGCACACTGTTCTCCATTTGTATTAATAGGTGGGCTACCTAATCTTGGTTGATCAGCTTTTGATAAGATTTTGGCTTGAGCCAGGAATTCTGAATGATTCAGTCTTCTTAGTTTCTCAGTGACCACTTTGAGTTATTTTTCTGTTTATGAACCCTTTTTTTTCATTGTTCAAAGAAGTCTCATCGAATTTCATATGGTTTTTCTGTTTTCGGTTTCAAAGGTAATTTGTGCCTAAGACATTGGTAAAAAATTGTAAGTCAGATTACTTACTCTATATCGTAGTTGGGCGCTTTACTCCTTCCTATGCTATACTATTTTTCCAAATCTGTTTCTTTTTCGAGACAAGTGTATATTCTGGTATCTAATCCTACCTTAAAATAATCAGTGACAACTTTTTCAGTTTTGGATGACGTTTTTTGGAGTACCTACATGTCACTATTGTGACAATCACAAGCCAAAATAAAATTGCAAAGTAAACTATTATTTGAGTTGCTATAAAGAAACAGCTCAAACAAACAGAGGCTAATACATCCTTTCCTTCCAAGAGTTTGGGGCCCTATTCTGTTTATTTAGGTTTCTTTTGATAGTTGGAAATAAAGTTTGAATTTGTTTCTTTCTTGTTTAGTTATGAATTTCTTTTATATTTGTTCATGACATATTGCCTTTTACATTTGACATTTGATTTAACTTGCTACTTGTGTATTGTCTTGATTAAGTAGATCACTTACATGAGTTGCTCAAGGAAGTTGGAATCAAAGAACAAGGAATTAAAGATTATATTTAGTATTTTATTTCCTTCTATTATGTAGTTAACTTTTTCCAAGTCGTGAATTTGGTCATCAAAAGACAGTAGTAGAATATTGTCCTTCTATCGTTTGAACTTGATGAATAGAAAATGCTCATCTAACCATAGATAGGATACAAACAATCGAGTGTAAATTGGTTAAACAGTTTTCACCAGAGCACGAATGCCTTACACCTTATAGTCTTGCTGTATTTTCTTGGACCTTTATCTTGTACTGACAAGTGCTTGTTCTTTATATTTTATCTCATCTGTGACTGGATCATGAGTGATTCTCAGTTCATTTAAATTGGTTCCTTGGAAGTCATTGTTATGATGACATGCATGTAAATATTTGTTGTTTTCATTTATCACTGCCACAGTTTTAATTTCAGATCATTGTCTGTAATCTTTCATTTATGTTCTTTTCTGTTTCAGTGCTTCAGCTGATTAATACAGATCAGTTTAATTCAACAAAATGACCAGAGTTTACAATTATTACAGTAAGTTATCTTCACAGTGGGGTTTACTAGCAAGAAGGTATAATTCAAGTCAAGCAATGCGTGAAGTTTCAGAAACAACAGAAAAGATATGTAAGCTTATGATGTCCTCTCCACCAGTTGTACTTGATACTGCCCTTAACCAAAGTGGCATGAGGGTTTCCCCAGAAGTGGTGGAGGAGGTCCTCAAGAGATTTGAGAATGCCGGTATGTTAGCTTATAGGTTTTTTGAATGGGCTGAGAAGCAAAGAAACTATGTGCATAGTGTTCGGGCATACCACACAATGATTGGATCTCTGGCCAAAATAAGGCAGTATCAGATCATGTGGGATCTTGTGAATATCATGAGAAATAAGGATATGCTAAATGTTGAGACGTTTTGCATTATCATGAGAAAGTATACGAGGGCTCAGAAAGTTGATGAGGCAATTTACACATTTAATATTATGGAGAAATATGGAATTCCCCCAAATCTAGCCGCATTCAATGGCCTGCTGAGTGCTTTATGCAAGTCCAAGAATGTCAGAAAAGCTCAGGAGATATTCGACAGCATGAAGGTTCAGTTCACTCCTGATTCCAAAACTTATAGTATATTGCTTGAAGGATGGGGAAAGGATCCAAATCTGCCCAAGGCAAGGGAAATTTTTAGAGAAATGATTGATGTAGGTTGCAACCCTGACATAGTGACCTATGCTATAATGGTTGACGTTCTTTGCAAGGCGGGGAGGGTTGATGAAGCTGTTGGAATTGTTAAATCAATGGACTCGAGGGACTGTAAGCCTACATCTTTTATTTACAGTGT